GTGAAAAGGAGACAAAAACTTCTCAACAAAAAATTTCTACACATTTCTTCTTCAATTTACTTACAAAACAACAACAAATGAAAAGCATACAGGTACATGAGGAATGCAGTCAATTGTTCCGAAAAACAAAGGGATAATAAAATTAGAACCCACCCGAGTCAGCATATTTCTTTACGAGTGCCAATGAACTAGCATGTGCGTCTCTTCTGTAACCAGTGGGGATCCGAGCCGAGGTGTTTGGATTTGTTGCAGGAACCTGATGTTGTATACTCATCGGTCCTGCTGATGCAGAACCTCCACTGGAAACTGCTGCCGCCCCACTGGAGCCAGGATTCATGTAGAGGAACCTACAACTAACGTCAAGGAAATGTATTAGTCAATAGCAAAGTAAGGTAGATATGTATTACAATGTCACTGCAATTTATAGTTCATATGCAAGAGGCTGATATATCTTTCATTAATACTACTCCACATGCAAATTCAGAATTACAAGAACAATCAGTATGTACAGAAAGAAACCAGTACATGAAGGGCAGGAAATCTTGTCAAAAGTTCAACAAAGTACGAGTTCCGACAGAGGAAACTAAGTGAAACAAACCATCGAAGAATTGACAAAACATGCATGCTTGATGGGTTTATTAGTGTGAAGAGTATACCAGGAAAATGCACTTAGATTCACATCACACGACACTTATTTGCCACGTCTACTACCACTACCACAGTATCAGACAAGGCAACCAAATTTGCTGTCCCAAAGCTTGTAAGCAGTTAAATCCTCACTCATAACAGTAGGACGAACAACTTCTGCAGCACTGATGAAATCGGTTAATGAGATAGGCCGTATCTAAAAGATATACCATCAGATTTTCGCAGCTGCAGATTCGATCAAAACTATGGTCCGCTTGAAAAGAATAGCTTGAAAATGTAACTATGCTGAAGCAAAAATAACCTCATCTGCGCCTATCGTCTCGATATCCATGGAAGAGCAATTATCCACATCTCGAATTGGGCCCATNACGAACAACTTCTGCAGCACTGATGAAATCGGTTACTGAGATAGGCCGTATCTAAAAGATATACCATCAGATTTGGTAAAAAAGATTTGGTGATTAGCGGATTCGATCAAAACTATGGTCCGCTTGAAAAGAATAACTTGAAAATGTAACTATGCTGAAGCAAAAATAACCTCATCTGCGCCTATCGTCTCGATATCCATGGAAGAGCAATTATCCACATCTCGAATTGGGCCCATGGCGGCTTCGGCACACAGTTGCCTCACATCAGCGCCCGAATAACCTACAAAAGAGTAAAGAGTAAATGTATAGAATTGAAATCATCAGAAGCGATCACAGAGAACCTACCTTCTGTCAATTCCGCTATCCGATTATAGTCTTCCTCCTCGAGTGAATGTTTCATATCAGTAAGTAAATTTTTGACAATAGTCAGTCTTGCCTCAGCTTCCGGCAAAGCGATATAAAGACGCTTGACAAAACGCCGTCGAGCAGCTTCATCAAGCTCTTGTGGGCTGCAAAATATTACGATGCAAATGCTATGATAGAGCAAAGATATTTAATCGAAAGGACATTGCTTCAGGGAGAAAAAGCTTCTGAGATGACCCTTTATGATCTAATGTACTAGCTTGTTCTAACTAAAAATCACCCTCGAGCCCTCACTGATTAAGATTACTGACAAAAATGAGTTTTTACCGATTTGTTGCTGCGAGGACCAACAATCGTTCGTCTGAGTTCGTTGCGACACCGTCCAGTTGTACCAGAAATTCCGTCTTGATACGACGAGATGACTCGTGC